TCGGTGAATAAAAACCGAGACGAAGTCGAGGTTTTTATTCACGATAATCACCGAGCCTGAGGTGAATAATTGTTTTAGTATAATTTCATAGGTGATTATTTGGGAAAAATAAGAAAATACACATTTCTTCGCCATTTAATTGTCAAAAAGGCTTCGGCCGCCATTTTGAAAATCGCTTAGGTGATTATCGCGTAATAATGACCTCATCGGCAACCAATCAGCGTGGAGAATTTTCAATAATCACCTATATACTAACATTGGTTATTCGTCGGATACTACCAACGTGATGTTTGGAGAAAGAAATTCGGTTTTCAAGCTGTTGAAATCGGGGCAAAAGAATGTGCAAACACTGAAATGCTCTTGCCACTTAATCCACTTAGCTTCTTCCTATGCCACAAAAAGTTGCCAAAGGATTTAGAGGATCTATGTCGGGACATTTATGCACATTTCCACCGTTCATCGAAAAGACAAGGTGTCTACAAAGAATTCCAAAGTTTCTTTGATGTTGAACCTCATAAGCTACTGTCCCCTGCTCAAACACGCTGGCTCTCTTTTCAAGCATGCATAAATCGAATTTTGGAGCAGTATGAAGCATTGAAGCAACATTTTATTCTTGTTGTAAATGAAGATCCAACTCATACCATCGAACGCATACACAAGTTCACATTGGCCTACCTAGAGTTTCTCAGCTACCAGCTTTAGCGGTTCAATGATTTCAATCTTCTTTTTCAATGTGAAAAACTTGTCCTCCATTGTCTTAAGTCACAAGTAGAAATGCTCCTTAGATCAATCGCAAGTGATTTTATGAAAAGGGATTATGTTAAAGCTACAAACCCGAAGAAAATTTCACCATCATGTGAAGAATTTCACGTACCCCTGGAAGATGTCTATCTTGGCATGGCGGAAACAGCAATTCTATGAGAAATAGCAGCCAGGGCTAAAGAAGAAGACGTATCTGCATTCCGTAGTCACTGTAGGAATTTCCTCGTAGAATCGATTCTTCAGATCCAGAAACGGTTTGACCTTGCGGCAGAGATTCACGATATCGTACAGTGTACCTTGCCCCAAAACGCTGCTTCTACCATCCCACCTTCTCTCGAAGGCATTTGTCAGAAGTTGTCCTATTTGAGGGAGATTCTCAAGTCTGGTTCACGCTAGCAATTTTGTCCGTGATTTTGTGTTTCTGACGGATGCAAATGCAGGGCCGTAGCAACCGGGGGGGCTGGGGGGGGCTGCAGCCCCCCAATAATTTGCTAATAATCATTCTTTTTTCAAAATCATGCAAACTTTATCATTTAATCTGTGACAAACTGCAAAGAATGAAGATATTACTCATACTCCAGATCGTTCCTCGC